GTGCTGCAGTCCCCCCCCCCCCTCCGCGAGATCGGATCTTGGATTTCGGTGGATCTCGCCGCCCGGATCCCCACGGCTGCGAGGCACGCGCCGTGGCGACGAAACTGAATATAGAGCGTCTCCTGCCCCAAAGCCGCGCCAGGGCGACAAGGCTCGGCTTTCACAAAGTGCGCGCAGCTGAAAAATCAACCGCCGCGTGCCTCACGGCGACGGCGCGCGCCACGCGCCGCCGCGGGCTCTCCGGCCTCGACCCCGGCGGGGGAATGAACCGCGCACTGGGGAGGTGGGATGAGGAGGCCTCCTCCCAAGAAGCCCTCCCTCCTCCCCCCCACCCCCCTCGCCCCAAGACCTCTGTGAGCAGCGGCGCGCCCCAGCGCGGCTCCACGGGGCCCGACGAGGAACAGAGGGGGGGCACCTCGCGAGGTGCTGCAGTCACTCGCGAGGTGCTGCGGCCCTCCGCGAGATCGTCAGACGCAGGCTTGTCCAACGACGCGCGCAACGGGTCCGAGGCGGGGATCTGTCCATGCAGCGAAGACGCTGGAGTCAGGAGGGGGGGGCCGACAGTGCCCTGAGCATAGAACAAAGACTCTGCTGCCTGCGCAGATTTCTCGGATCGGCGCTGGACGCCCCGTGCCCCCAACTCGCAGCGTGCAGCGACGCGCGCCACCGGCGGCCCGCGGGGCCCGACAAAAAAAACAGAAAGGTCACCAGCTTCGGCGCGAACATCGGAATTCTTGCGGGTCCGCGGGCGCCGCCACGTCGCAGGGGAAAGCTCGCGTTTGTTTTCGCGGGGGGGGGGGTATGTTGTATGGGGCCCGCGGCGCTCCCGGGGCCACGATCCCTTGTGACGCTTGTTTCGGCCACCACGGGAAGCCCTTGCACCTGATGCGACGGACCGGCAAACCAGCCAACAGTCCGAACAGCCAGCCAACCCGCCCACCTGCCAAACAGCCAGCCATCTAGCCACATGAGGGGGGCACCGACGTGGGGGGACTGGCATAGGGGGGGAACATCGATTTGAAATCGGCGATACATCGCCGATAGATCGGCGATAGGCCCCCGATAGCGAATCCGAACGCTCCCAGACGGGGTGCCCTTTTCGGCGATCAATGGGCGATTGGGGGCCGATGCGCCTCCCCTATGCCTATCCCCCCCTATCGTTGCCCCTGATCACATGTAGGCGGCGCGCCCAGGGGACGTGAGAAAGGGCGGGCCTTCTCAGAATGCTCGGAAGTCCCCTGGCCTTCTGAGAAGTCCCCCCAGCCTGCCCCAAAGACACAACCGAAACCCTCTCAGAGGGCGCGAGGGCTTCTGAGAAGTCCCGCCGCCTTCCGAGAGGGCCTCCTCCTTCCCACTTCCCCCCCTCGCTCGCCGCCGAACACGAGCAAGAGAGCCAATCAGCCAGCCGGCCAATGGGGAAGCACGCCCGGCGGCATGGGGCGGATCCATCCTCCGTTCGTCCGGTGTCGCGCCCGCCGGCAGCGACGAAGGCAACTTGCCGCCGACCCGGCCGCTGCGCGCACGCCTCCTGCGAAGGCCGGCTCCCGACTATCGCGCGCGCGCCCCGGTGAAGCTGCCGCCCGGCAGCGGAACGTGTCGCCAGCGGTTCACTCGGGCAGTGGCTTCCCAATCCCCGTCGAGGTTCATGGAATCCGCCCCGCCGAGCCTCCGGCACGCCGGCGGGGTCCCCCAGGCTTCGCGCGGGTGCCTGGAAGAGAGCCCAGGACCCCACAGGCTCCCCAGAATCCACGGCGTGGGGCTGGGCGCTCTTGACCTTACGTCAGGCCTGTTCCCCTGACAGGGGGATTTTCGAGGACAAAGTAGAAATGGTCAGAAAAATGTGCAAAAGTGGTCAAAACATATTTTAAAAAATCGTCCCCATACTATTTTTTGACTATTTTTGAATACTCCTCCTGTAGAGGGACAGGCCCGACTTAATCCTGGGAGCTCACGGCGCTTCCCTCGCTGCCCTCCGGGGCGCCCAGCCGGCGAGAGCCGGCTCCGCTGCTCAAAGAGGCAGGACACTCTCCGCAGCCTCTGTGCATCGTGTAACTGATTCCCATTCCCACCAGCGTAGGCTGGGCCCCACTGGCCGATGCACCCCCCTGAAAGGGACATGTAGGCTGTTTTCTTCGGGTTCCGAGGGGCATGATCCCCAACTGAGGTGGTGAGACGGTGGTGCTCGATATGTGGATGGGGATGGGGATAGGGATCGGTTAAACGGTACTGAGCCTCAAGCCTCGAAAGGCGCCGAAGAGACTCCCAACATGGTCCTGGGGCCATCCTCGGCATCTCTTGGGCACATCTTGAGCCGTCTTTGAGGCCCTGGGGCCGCCACGAGAGGCCCAAACCATCAAAATACAAGCTGGAAACACAAAATGCATCAGCAATCTGAGTCTTGAGGGTTCGGTCCCTTCCGGCAGTAAGCGCGCCCAGACGGCCCAAGAGGCCCCGAATATTGCTCTGGAGCGGCCTCCGATGGCCCCAGCCCCAAGAGGGGGAGCACGAACCGACACTCCGACCCAAGGTGTTCACCGAGATCGCCCCCCAAGTCCTACAGCGGCGCCCAGGAGGCACCCAGAGGCTCAACAAAAAAAGGCGTAGGAGGGGGCTTCCAAGAGGCCTCCAAAGGGCGGCTCAAGATGCCTCTAAGAAGCCTTGGTCAGCTACCCAGGTACGGTGGCGGGATGGGCCGAAGGCCACTAGATCCGCCGCCCCCTGCTTGCAGGGGTGCACGGCGTGCTGGACGAGCTGTCAGGTTTTGGTTTTGGTTCTTTTTCCAAAAGAACTCCCCAATGGGCTCCGGCCCGTCCCGCCGGGGTCCCGGGAGGAAGCCGAAAACACCTCAATCCGGAAAAAAATCCTCCAAAAACGGCCGTTTCGCTCGGGACATCCTCAACAAATCGCGAAGATGGCCCAAGATGGCCTCCAAGTCCGCCCGAGATGGTCCAAGACGGCCTCCAAAACGGCCCAAGAGAGTCCAAGACGGCCCAAGACGGCCCAAAAGGCCCCCCAGAGGCCTCCCAGACGGCCCAAGAGGCCTCCAAGAGGTCCTCCAGGAGAGTCCGAAGAGGCCAAAATCATTGAATTTTCCTTGGTTTTTGAAGGATTCTGGCATTTGCGCCTTTTCGGCTCTCCGACGGCTCGAGACGGCCCAAGAAGCCCCCAAGATCGCCCAAGAGGCCCCCAAGAGAGCCCCCTGATGGCCCAAGTGGCCTCCAAGATGGCCCCTAGAGGGCCCCAAGACGGCCCAAGAGGCCTCCAACACGCCCAAGATGGCCTCCAAGACGCCCAAGATGGCCTCCAAGACGGCCCTGGAGCATTCCAAGCGGGCCCCAAGTCGGCCCATAGAGGCCCCCCAAACGGCTTCCGACGGCTTCAGACGTGCCATGAACCCACCAAGATGGCCGAAGTTGGCTCGAAGCTGGCCCGAGACGGCCCAAAAAGCCCCAAAGATCGCCCAAAGCTTGCCCAAGAGGCCTCCAAGACGGCCAAGATGACCTTCAAGATGCCCACGTGTTCCCCGAAGGCTTTCCAAACCGATTCGGGTAACACGTGGTCCGATAGCTTGGCAGGTCTGGCCTCAACGTTCGGCCACATAGGCGCTTCCAAAAAGGCAGGGGGCGGCGGTGATTCGCCGTAGGCGTCTTCGATCCGCCGCCCCCTGCTTGCAGGGGTGCACGGCGTGCTGGATGTTTCAGGTTTTGGTTTTGGTTCTTTTTCTAAAAGAACTCCCCAGTGGGCTCCGGCCCGTCCCGCCGGGGTCCCGGGAGGAAGCCGAAAGGACCTCAATCCGGAAAAAAATCCTCCAAAAAACGGCCGTTTCGCTCGGGAAATCCTCAAAAAATCGCGAAGATGGCCCAAGATGGCCTCCAAGTCCGCCCGAGATGGTCCAAGACGGCCTCCAAAACGGCCCAAGAGAGTCCAAGACGGCCCAAGACGGTCCAAGAGGTCCTCCAGGAGAGTCCGAAGAGGCCAAAATCATTGTTTTTTCCTTGGTTTTTGAAGGATTCTGGCATTTGCGCCTTTTCGGCTCTCCGACGGCTCGAGACGGCCCAAGAAGCCCCCAAGATCGCCCAAGAGGCCCCCAAGAGAGCCCCATGATGGCCCAAGTGGCCTCCAAGATGGCCCCTAGAGGGCCCCAAGAGGGCCCAAGAGGCCTCCAACACGCCCAAGTTGGCCTCCCAGACGCCCAAGATGGCCTCCAAGACGGCCCTGGAGCATTCCAAGCGGGCCCCAAGTCGGCCCATAGAGGCCCCCCAAACGGCTTCCGACGGCTTCAGACGTGCCAGGAACCCACCAAGATGGCCGAAGTTGGCTCGAAGCTGGCCCGAGACGGCCCAAAAAGCCCCAAAGATCGCCCAAAGCTTGCCCAAGAGGCCTCCAAGACGGCCAAGATGACCTTCAAGATGCCCACGTGTTTCCCGAAGGCTTTCCAAACCGATTCGGGGAACACGTGGTCCGATAGCTTGGCAGGTCTGGCCTCAACGTTCGGCCACATAGGCGCTTCCAAAAAGGCAGGGGGCGGCGGTGATTCGCCGTAGGCGTCTTCGATCCGCCGCCCCCTGCTTGCAGGGGTGCACGGCGTGCTGGATGTTTCAGGTTTTGGTTTTGGTTCTTTTTCCAAAAGAACTTCCCAGTGGGCTCCGGCACGTCCCGCCGGGGTCCCGGGAGGAAGCCGAAAGGACCTCAATCCGGAAAAAAATCCTCCAAAAAACGGCCGTTTCGCTCGGGACATCCTCAAAAAATCGCGAAGATGGCCCAAGATGGCCCCTGTGGTCTTGCCACAGGGGTGCACGGCGTGCTGGATGTTTCAGGTTTTGGTTTTGGTTCTTTTTCTAAAAGAACTCCCCAGTGGGCTTCGGCCCGTCCCGCCGGCCACCCGCAAGTTTCCGAAAATCCATCTGTCAATGCCTTAGTTGCCCCAACTTGGCCCAAGATGGCCTCCAAGACGGCCAAGATGGCCCAAGATGGCCTCCAAGATGCTTCCAAGACGGCCAAGATGGCCTCCAAGACGGGTAAGATGGCTCCAAGATGCACCCAAGACGGCCCCAGATGGCCTCAAGATGGTCTAAGACGGCCCAAAAGGCCGGCAAAAGGCCTCCAATACGGCCCAAGAGCCCTCCAAGACGCCCTCCAGGAAGGCCCGAATAGGTTAAAATCATTGATTTTCCTAAGGTTTTTGAAGGATTTTGGCATGTTCTTCTTTTCAGCTCTCCGACGGCCCAAGACGGCCCAAGAGGTCCCCAACATCGCCCCAACAGCACCCAAGAGGCCTCCAAGATGGCCCCATGACGGCCCAAGAGGCCCCCAAGAAGGCCCCAAGAGGGCCTCAAGACGGCCCAAAAGGCCTCCAAGACGCCCAAGATGGCCTCCAAGACGGCCAAGATGGCCCAAGATGGCCTCCAAGATGCCTCCAAGACGGCCAAGATGGCCTCCAACACGGGTAAGATGGCTCCAAGATGCACCCAAGACGGTCCAAGATGGCCTCAAGATGGTCTAAGACGGCCCAAAAGGCCGGCAAAAGGCCTCCAAGACGGCCCAAGAGCCCTCCACGACGCCCTCCAGGAAGGCCCGAATAGGTTTAAATCATTGATTTTCATTATGTTTTTCAAGGATTTTGGCATGTTCTTCTTTTCAGCTCTCCGACGGCCCCAGACGGCCCATGAGGTCCCCAACATCGCCCCAACAGCACCCAAGAGGCCTCCAAGATGGCCCGTCCTCCCCCACGTGTTTCCCGAAGGCTGTAAAGACCGATTTTGGGAACATATGGCCCAATAACTTGGCAGACCTCTGGCCACAGCAGTCGGCCGCATCGGCGCTTCCGAAAGGGCAGGGGGCGGCGGTGATTCGCCGTAGGCGTCTTCGATCCGCCGCCCCCTGCTTGCAGGGGTGCACGGCGTGCTGGATGTTTCAGGTTTTGGTTTTGGTTCTTTGTCTAAAAGAACTCCCCAGTGGGCTTCGGCCCGTCCCGCCGGCCACCCGTAATTTTCCCCAAATCCGTCTGTCAATGCCTTTGTTGCCCCAACTTGGCCCAAGATGGCCTCCAAGACGGCCAAGATGGCCCAAGATGGCCTCCAAGATGCTTCCAAGACGGCCAAGATGGCCTCCAGGACGGGTACGATGGCTCCAAGATGCCTCCAAGACGGCCCAAGATGCCCTCCAAGACGGCCAAGATGGCCCCAAGATGCCTCCAAGATGGCCCAAGAGGCCTCCAAGACGTTCTCCAGGAGAGCCCGAAGAGGCCAAAATCATTGTTTTTCCTTAGGTTTTTGAAGTTTTTTTGCGTTTTCTTCTTTTCGGCCTTCCGACGGCCCAAGAGGCCCCCAAGATCGCCCAAGAGGCCTCCAAGAAGGCCCTATGACGGCCCAAGGGCCCCCCAAGACGGCCCCAAGAGCGCCCCAAGACGGCAGAGGCCTCCAAGACGCCCAACATGGCCTCCAAGACGGCCCTGAAGCGCCCCAAGAGGGCCCCAAGACGGCCCAGAGAGGCCCCCAAGAGGGCTCCAGACGGCGTCAGACGGACCAGGAACGCCCTAAGACGGCCAAAGAGACCCCCAGGAAGCCCCCAAAGGCCCCCAAGAGGCCCAAGGAGGCCCCCAAGATGCCTCCAAGAGGCCTCGAAGAGGCCCCCAAGAAGCCCCCAACAGACCCCAAGGGTGCCCCA